GTCAGTATGAACGCCTCCTAGCTTTCTAAAATGGTTCAGAACGGGCTGTACCGTGCCAAAACCAACCAGTCCGAAAAGCCGCAGCGTCCGCCGCGATCAAGCCTATATGGAATTTTCCAAAGTCATAGGGAGCGTATCAAAGCCACTAATGCAGCACATGACTGCACCAGTTCAGTACTATTCGGATACCTTGACAACCGGCTGGTAAGTGGACTGCATCAAGAAACCTTGTGCGTCGTAGCAACAGGTCTGCCCATAGTGAGTGGAATAGGCGCTGCAAAGCAATGTATTCGTAAAAGTGAACTGTGGGCAATGAGAAGTAGAGTGACATACCTCTCCTGCTCACGGCCTTCGTAGTTCATGCGGTACGTTGAACCCGCGCACATTTTGCGCCGACATGTAGCAGTTCATCGAGCCAAGCGTCTCCGTACACGATACGTCACGAAACAACTGAAATTCAGCACAAACACGTTACCAGCCCTGTCGAAGTTGAACAGTGAGGAGTATGAATTTTCCGCGCAAATTCGAAGCGGAATAAGCCTAAACATTTTTTTAGCCATGCATCTGGTCTAGCAGAGTGGCAGGCCGACAAGAAACAGGCTTTAAATAGAATAATACCCGAGTAGTTAAGTTTTGAAGGACCAAGTACTAGGTACATGTATGTGATCGCCCCCACTGAAGATCGTCAAGGAGAACGCTGGGTCACTTCCCACACAGTACTTGCCCACAGTAAGCCTCACACGTTTTTCAACTTGACGAAGCGGTCATAAATCGGATGTGTAGGCAGGTTTGTACTGAGATAACAACTGTTTTGAGGGATTGCTGCAAACGACATTAGCTATTGGAGTATCCGTGAAGTTTTCGAGAAATCATTCAGCGCGAAAACTCTTGGAAGTGGCACTTACCGCACTGCATCTGGGATGAGGCATGAATCGTCCAATATCCATTTTTGCCTGCTCCTCCTTACATGGACAACTGGAATTTGTCTCTGTCTCACGAATGAAGTTCGATAGAGCTCCATCCTCGTCGAACCAGCTGTGACACATCTCTCGCGACTGCAAGAGCTTTTGATAATGAAAAATTCGAGCTTATGGTTATGTCGACTATGATCCATCAACTGGTTGATGGATCATAGTCGACATAACCATAAGCTGACAAATCCTGATATTTTTTGTCATGTGCTGATTAACAGGTTTTGCATGGATCACGCTGGTTTGGCCTCTCAGTAGCACTGACCCTGTTCCTAATAATAACCCCTTAATTTTGAGACTTTCAAAAGCTTCAGAAAGAAAATGGTGACCATAGTCCCACCCAAGGGTACATATGAACTTGTAACAGTAGCGTTGTAGTGTAACTCAGAGAATGTCCGTACTACACAGTGCACGATAGATGCGCCTCCCGATACTTTCACTAACACCTCACCGGTGCTGTTTTTTGACGGG